TACACCTCCAACCTTATGCAGCAGCACAACCCACAAATCTGATGTGGGTTACACTTTCATGCAGTCTTCTCTTTATGGTAGACTTGGATATTGATATGCCTACCTCCTGGAGAGTGTTGTTCACTTGGTTGGCTGTTGTGAAGGGTTTTCTCTTCACCATGGAAATGATTCTGTGATCATCCACCGCTGTTGTCTTCTGTGGACGTCCAGGTCTTTTTGCATTGCCGAGTTCACCAGTGCTTTCTTTTTTTTTCTTTCCAAACTTTAGATTTTGCCACTTCTACTATTGTAGCAATTTTCTTGGATTGATTTTTTTCTGTTTTGGGAGCTTACCTCTTCACTCGCGTGGAGAGGTTCTTTTGACTGCTGTTCACAGCCTATCACAGATTCTGTCAGCAAGTCTTCCAAATGCAAGCACCACACCTCAGATCAACTCAACCCTTTTATCTGCTTAACTGATAATAACATAACGAAGGAATTGCCCACAACTGCCCATGAAATAGCCTGTAAGACAACTGTCCAATTACTTTTGGTCCATTTAAAAAGAGGGTGGCACAGCTGAAACTCCTAAACCCCCCATTCTAATATGAATGTAGATACCCTCAAATTAAGCTGAGAGTCTACACGTTATGTCAATGTCCATTATATAACTATACTTACAATATGTTTCAGTAAACAGGTAAAAAAAACAACAACAACCTAAACTTGGTGTCTGTGTCCAAATATATCTGGACCTAACTGTACACTCTGGCTATCAGCAGTGGCTCATGGTCAAAGCAGCCATTCATTTTACTGAAGCCTTGAATCTTTCCCTTCCTAATTATGTCCCTCCATCTATTTTCATCTTCCTCTCTTCCACAGATGGTGCAGCAGCAGCCCCCTGTGACTGTGAGGCCTGATTACAAGTTGTTACTGGCTGTTGCTGGTACTACTGTTCACAGTGCAGCAGCCCTGACAGCTAACGTGTCGTTAATCTGACACATTTTGCTGGATCTGCTTTTATTGTTTTCTCTCAGTTTTTCAGCTCCACCTTTTTAGGCTGGTCCATCGACCCAAGTGTCTTGGCCCACCAGGAAAATGCCCGGTATGCCAGATGACCAGCCGAGCCCTGGACTTCAGCATGTGCAGCAAAATGTTTCATAATCCTGACTACACTCTGCACCATTTTCTGCAAAGGGAGTGGATTACTTCCACTGCCACAAGATTGGATATTTGACATCTTTTTAAACTATGTGCAATAACATTTTATAATACATCTATCCAGTATTGAAATATCTGCTCTTAAATTTTGACATTTAAAATTGTACTTTCATTTTTTTTCCTGTTATATATTTGCTTGATGTAACAAAACAGAATGCAACAGAAAGAAAAATAACCTTAAGTTTTTATTTATGGGAATGATATAAACTGGAAACAGGGAATGCAAACCCCCAGAAATGAATCAGGCTCAGCTTTAAAAAACAAACAAACATGTAGCTTGTTTTCATTTATTTTGAACTTAAACAATGGGCTCCAAATGTCATATCAACTCATTAGAAACACACACTGCAAATACAAGCAGCTGTTTACAGTAGTAACCCCCATTAGCCAGTTCCCATTGTAGGAGTTTAGAACATGTGTGCTGAAGGATTCACCAGACTCATGAGTTGTAGTGCAATTACAGCAATGGAGGGAATGGAGCATGGGCACATCATTCCATGATGTTTGTGTCGTCTCCTTTAGGCTGACTGCTGAATTGCTCTTTTTCATCTTAGTCTATTTGGTCAATTTCATGTTACTGAAGGCAATATCTGACAGAGATTATTACTTAGCTAACTTGTGAATGATTAAACCGGTAGCCAACCAGCCTTACTCTCAAGCCCTCCACAATAGAACCCACTGTTTCCTCCCAAAAAGGGTCATGAAAGACACCTGGCAGGTCCTGTTACTCAGATCATCTCACTAGTTGTGATGGAAAACAGCATAATGTAATTGTTTCGTCACATGAACCATTTGCAGATAAAGAGATGCCACGTGATTTTCACCTTCTACTTCTTGCTCCAAAGTTCTCTTAAATATTCTGTTCGATCAAACCACAATCAAGTCCATTGGTCACCAAGTTTTCGTTTTCACCCCAAGTATGGGCAATGTTTTTTTTACAAAACCCTTTTATTTCCCTTCCCACCCCCAACCCCATTCTTGAAAAGAGCAAAGATGTTTCAGTTCTTCTTGCTCTTGGGCGAATCGTATTTCCTCTTGCTGGAGTACCAGAGAAGCAGAGGGATGCCGATGGAGGGGAGCGTCATCACACCAAATGCAGCCCAGTCCAACTAAAGACAGACACACGGAGCAGTGAGTGAAGTGTTAGAGGACTGTTCTGGCAAATGCAAAAACTTCAGTCTATAAGCCATGAATCGAGACACTATGTGAACGGTGGTATCAAGGAACTCTGTTGTTGTGGAGACTTTAATTTAGTTTATCAACATGCACTACTTGTACTAAAAAGTACTTCTTGTGCTATATGCAAAAATTTGTCAGTGTAGATACAGTAAATTCCAATTTTAGCTGAAATTAACAAACCAATAAAGATCCTTAGAGGTTTACAAAATTCCACCAGCCTCAATTTACTTTGATCCGCATAGGCCAGTGGACTCAGGTGCCATAATGAGCGAGCCTCAATCTGTTTTTAACACTTACATAGTGTGGAGAGAAGCGCCGGTCAAACTCTCTCTGAGCCAAGATTCCTCCCTGTCCAGGAGCACTGGTGTAGCCAACCTGCAGGAAGGGAAGGAGGGGACACTTTAGCTTCCAACACATCACTATGGACTGTAAATGCTTTGACTCACTAAGGACTTTAACTGCTTTTACCACAACTTGTCCTCCCTCCTGAACCAGGTAGCTGACGGTAGCAGAGGTAAAATTAAAGTATCCAGCCTTCAAGGGGCGCAACACCACTGTGTGAGAGACGTTGCTGGCTCTAAAAGTTTCAGAGTTAAGAATGATGACTTGGAGAAAGAGCCCATCTATGGTTATTTAAACCAACTTAAATCAAATTCCTGCATTCCTGGTTCATTAAGGCCTCTGTCTTATGAACCATGAAGAGTGAATACTTCTTTAGGTTCAGCGGCCTGAAAAGCTATCATTTCACTATTTGGTCCTACTGTGTAAGATGAAATAACTGTGGTGCAAAACATAGGCTGCCATACAGACACCCAGTAACTTACGTTTGATTAAGAATTTAAGATCAAACTCCCATTAAGCCACAATTAATGCGTCAAAAATAGCTCAAGTTTGATAGTGCCAGTGAGAAGTCATGTTACTGCAAGGATACGGTGCAATCCTGTCCCATTTCACATTCAGCATTCCGGAAACAATTCCAAAATCTTCAGGAGGAAAAGAATCATCGGATAGCTCCACCTCTAGAGCTGCACTGCGGAGACAAACCAGATGATGACATTTAGTCACACAGTATGCACTAAACATTTTATCAGGTCTTGACAAGCTCTCAAGCAGTTCACATTTCAACAATTCTGAAAACGTCTTGATAATGTTCAAACGTACTGATAAAGTGATTATTAAACAGCAGTTTGTTAACAAACAACTGAATAAAATAATTCTGTGTCGTTTGGTTTTCTGTGTGTATTCATTTGTACAGTTATCTGATTTACAGCGGCTGTCCAGATATCTGACCTGGAGCCCACGTTGTAGATGCTGTACTGGAGGGTCAGGTCGCGGCCCTCCACAGCATAGCGGTTCAGGAGGGATTTGGAGGCCAACAAACGGGCGCCCTCTTCTCCTGAGCCCAGAGCCAGCAGAGAAAGGATTACAAACACGTGCAGCATCCTGGTCATCTGGTCAAAACAAACAAACAAAAAAGGGAAATTAACTGGAGTTAGGAGGAGAATATGATGGACTACAAAGTATGGTGAAACTATAGCCAGGAGTCCAGGCTGGTTTTGAAATAAAACAATATGCGGTAGAGTCCAGGTATCCAACTAAATTTAGAATAAACAACAAAAAGAAAGGGGAAAACAATCTGCAGTCAGTCTTTAAACGGAGACTACTTCCTATTTATCTTAGGTTTGACTTTTAAAAGACGAAAGAAAAATCGCGACTGGGAGGTAATTTTAAAAGGCTGTTACGATATGTTACTAATGAAGAGTCCGGCTTCAAGTAAGAGTGCTCAACACTAACCGGTGCTTACGTGGACCAAAGGAGTCGCATCTTCATTTGCGTTAGTAAGAAAATTATAGTAAGTATCAACGCTTTATGTCTAACAGGCGTTTCATAGATTCGCTGTATAATAACAATATGTCCGTTCCTAAAATAAAACATTAGTAAATTATAACGCTGAAGCTTTAAAAGAAAAACAGGAAGAGATTTTTTACCTTCCTCCAGTTCTCTTCAAATGGCAGAAAGTAAAGAAGTTAGTCAAGCGCATGCTCAGAAGCTTAAAGCCTGTTTTTACATGACGTGTACCGAGGGGGAGTTAAAGAAGCCTGCAAACTGCAGCGCCCCTGGTGTTCGGGAGGGAGATAGGAGTCATTCGAAACGAACCTAGCTCATTATGCAGAAGTAGCTGGACTGCCTGTTCCGGCCCTGTAAAAGTACTTGTTGATCAGTTGAATTTTCATACATATAAAACGGTTTATGTACAAAATATAATTCATTGAGAATAAAATTCTCACTGCAGGTTCTCTGATCTTAATAGGGTTAGGGTTAGGGTCATTGCACAGTCATACAGTCATACATAGTACAATAGTACAATGAGATTGGAAAACTGTCCTACGTCGGCACTACATATAACACAACACGACACGATATGACACATCACAACGCAACACAAACAACACAATGCTCACAGACAAGACCCTCCATGAATACATGCATTACATTATATTTGCATATAGAAATGAAAAATGAAATAATGGATTGGATTGATATAGCGCTTTTCAAGGCACCCAAAGCGCTTTACAATGCCATTATTCATTCACTCTCACCTTCACACACTGGTGGAGGCAGCTACGGTTGTAGCTACAGCTGCCCTGGGGCAGACTGACAGAAGCGAGGCTGCCAATACTCCCAAAACTTGCATTTCTAATCCTAGGACTTCAAAGGCTGTAAATGATTTTTGGTTATACTTTATACATGAATCAAAAACAAATGCAGGCATTCATCAGTTTGCCTTTGGATTCTATATGTCAAACTTGTATGTAATTCATTCATTTGAAAATGTTCTCATTTTTGTATCATCACTTGGGCTCTGCTGTGCTACCATGCCAACAGAATCTGGTGATAATTCAGTGTCAATATTCGCATCAAGATGTTCCTTCCCAGCCACTCTGCTTTCATCTATTATCAGATGATAGCAGATGCTTATCTGATACCGTATCAGCATTTCCTGTAACACTCAAAGATGCCACCAAAGGTTTCCAGAACTACCTTGTCCCCTGCCTGTAGATGCTAAATATGCATGTACCTTTTTTTCCCCAATATATACAGTGGGGCAAAAAAGTATTTAGTCAGCCACCGATTGTGCAAGTTCCCCCACCTAAAATGATGACAGAGGTCAGTAATTTGTACCAGAGGTACACTTCAACTGTGAGAGACAGAATGTGAAAAAAAAATCCATGAATCCACATGGTAGGATTTGTAAAGAATTTATTCGTAAATCAGGGTGGAAAATAAGTATTTGGTCAATAACAAAAATACAACTCAATACTTTGCAACATAACCTTTGTTGGCAATAACAGAGGTCAAACGTTTACTATAGGTCTTTACCAGGTTTGCACACACAGTAGCTGGTATTTTGGCCCATTCCTCCATGCAGATCTTCTCGAGAGCAGTGATGTTTTGGGGCTGTCGCCGAGCAACACGGACTTTCAACTCCCGCCACAGATTTTCTATGGGGTTGAGGTCTGGAGACTGGCTAGGCCACTCCAGGACTTTCAAATGCTTCTTACGGAGCCACTCCTTTGTTGCCCGGGCGGTGTGTTTTGGATCATTGTCATGTTGGAAGACCCAGCCTCGTTTCATCTTCAAAGTTCTCACTGATGGAAGGAGGTTTTGGCTCAAAATCTCACGATACATGGCCCCATTCATTCTGTCCTTAACACGGATCAGTCGTCCTGTCCCCTTGGCAGAAAAACAGCCCCATAGCATGATGTTTCCACCCCCATGCTTCACAGTAGGTATGGTGTTCTTGGGATTCAACTCAGTATTCTTCTTCCTCCAAACACGACGAGTTGAGTTTATACCAAAAAGTTCTACTTTGGTTTCATCTGACCACATGACATTCTCCCAATCCTCTGCTGTATCATCCATGTGCTCTCTGGCAAACTTCAGACGGGCCTGGACATGCACTGGCTTCAGCAGCGGAACACGTCCGGCACTGCGGGATTTGACTCCCTGCCGTTGTAGTGTGTTACTGATGGTGACCTTTGTTACTTTGGTCCCAGCTCTCTGCAGGTCATTCACCAGGTCCCCCCGTGTGGTTCTGGGATCTTTGCTCACCGTTCTCATGATCATTTTGACCCCACGGGATGAGATCTTGCGTGGAGCCCCAGATCGAGGGAGATTATCAGTGGTCTTGTATGTCTTCCATTTTCTGATGATTGCTCCCACAGTTGATTTTTTCACACCAAGCTGCTTGCCTATTGTAGATTCACTCTTCCCAGTCTGGTGCAGGTCTACAATACTTTTCCTGGTGTCCTTCCAAAGCTCTTTGGTCTTGGCCATGGCGGAGTTTGGAGTCTGACTGTTTGAGGCTGTGGACAGGTGTCTTTTATACAGATGATGAGTTCAAACAGGTGCCATTCATACAGGTAACGAGTGGGGGACAGAAAAGCTTCTTACAGAAGACGTTACAGGTCTGTGAGAGCCAGAGATTTTCCTTGTTTGAGGTGACCAAATACTTATTTTCCACCCTAATTTACGAATAAATTCTTTACAAATCCTACCATGTGGATTCATGGATTTTTTTTTTCACATTCTGTCTCTCACAGTTGAAGTGTACCTCTGGTGCAAATTACTGACCTCTGTCATCATTTTAAGTGGGGGAACTTGCACAATCGGTGGCTGACTAAATACTTTTTTGCCCCACTGTACATGTTGCCCACATAGACCGCGAAGGTCCTCCGAAGGATGCAGCCGATGTTTTGGGACACAGCTTGCGTTTTCTTCGTTTACTTCGTCCACAGGTAAACGCAAAAACTGAGTTTTTGAAAATATCCACCCTGGCAGGAGTTTTTAAAAATCTCCGTTTTCAGTTACCAAAAACGCCGTTTACGTGTGGACGAAAGGCGCAAACGCATAGAAAAATCTGCATTTTCAAAAATACCCGGGTACGTGTGGACGTAGCCTAAGTGCCAAACATTAGGCAGATGGAAGAGGTTGTGATACGGTTGTTGACAATCTTCTTGTCAATGCTCAACATGAATGTCTCAGCAGCAAAGCAGGAGGAACCTGAGAATTAAAAAAAATCAACAACAACAACAAAAACTAATGAAGACCTTTAATGACAAGGGTTTGAATGTCTTACTGGCTGAACCTATATGGTTGTGTTAGTCAGTGTATTAGTGTGGAAGCAACAGAACATGAAACTAAACAAGCCAAGAGTATCACCTTGATGCATGCTCAATGATTCAGGTAAGTAAATCTCAAAAAGTTGATTCTGTTCATCAGCTTAGTCTATTCAATGTAGACATCTGTCCCAAGTCTTCGTATTTCTTCAACAACGGTTTGAATGGTAGATGTTGGCAGAAGATGCTGTCCCTGTGCTTTAATGTAAAACATACTGAAATTAGACCCATCCATACCAGGGTCTTCTGTAAATACACTGGCACCTTACTGTATGGTGGCACTTGTGGTTGGACTCTCTGAGTATCTTTGTTTGAACCACAAATCACGTTTTCTAAATGTTTGTGTTTTCTACACATATGGGAGGCAAATGTAGATTTTACAGAGAACACACTTTGGCATCCTCTCACTGGACAAGTCACATGCTGTTCACAACTAAAGCCTGCAGTTTTCTTTGTGTGCACTCAAATGGAGTCATGTCAACTAGCCCCACCTGTGGCCAAGTGCCATAGTCTACAGCCAGGTTAACTTGTGACACAGATCTGCACCACGTTTGAATTCCTGTTTCATGCAGTGTATTTGTAACTTTCAATGTTGTCTGTTTGTGCATCTTGCAAATAAACCTTTGAACCTAATGAAATGATATTATGCGTTTATTTTTGGCCTGCATCAGTGGGAAATGCCAAGTTATATACATAAAGTTATAGAAATCAGCACTCCCGTTGTTCATCATGATCTTAATAACTTTTTTCCATAACAAAGAAATAGGTCTTGAACAAATATATGACACATGAATATTTCACTAGTGTTGTAACGTCACATCCTGTTAGCTTTTCTCTGGAAATGATCATTTTATAATTCATAATGCCTCATAATGGTAATTCATCAACATGGCTGGAGAGAGTTGATTCAGTTAAAGGACTAGAT